TAAACTCCCTTCGGCAGCACCAAACACGATGAGCAATAAAGACACTGCAGTCCAGCAAGGTCACCTAAATCCTATAAAACTTAATCTTCTTTAGAGATAAAAAAATATCTCAGACCCATTTGTTCCCAAGCTGATGCTTTTTAAGCCTAGTGGAGTTCTTTCCTAAGGAACAATGGTGCATATGGTTGGACATTATGGGTTAGGCAAAAGAGTCAGTTGTTTATTTCTTTAGTGTTGTTTGATTACACCTAGGATCTTGACAGCCTGATAAAGATATACACTGTAAAAAAAGATGTTGAGACTCTAGAAAAAGTGCAACAAAGATGATTAGAGGACTGGAGGCCAAAACATAGGAGGAACAGTTGCAGGAACTGGGCGTGGCTAGTCTAGTGAAGAGAAGGAACAGGGGAGACATGATAGCAGTCTTCCAATATTTGAGGGGCTGCACAGAGAGGAGGGGGTCAACCTATTGTCCAAAGCTTCAAAAGGCAAGAGAAGGAACAATGGATGGAAACAGCTCAAGGAGAGATTCAACCTAGAAACAAGGAGACATTTTCTGACAGCGAGAACAACCAACTAGTGGAACAGAAGTGGCCTTTAGATGTTATGGGTGCTCCATCACTGGACGCTTTCAAGAAGACTGGCAGAAATGGTGTAGGGTCTCCTGCTTAGGTGTGTGTGGGTGGGTTGGACTAGATGACCTACAACTCTGTTATTCTAACTCTGATTCTAATTCTAAACATGCTTCTGTGTTCTCTTGGTCCATTTTTTTTGGAAAAGCACTTTGTTGCATGGAATACTTCAATTTATAACAGGGTCCCGAACCTCTGATACTATGACTTTGCTTACAGACTTACAAGGAACGCTGAGGAACATTGTTTGCAACCAGGTTGACCCAAGATCTACCGTTCTTCTTTCAAGTGGAACAGAGCTGTTTCAAGAAAGGCGCATTTTATTCAGAGGGGCCAAGACTTGATCAGAATTGTCTCTTTTCCACCTCTGCACCCCGCTGCAACTTCTCTGTCCCCTTCCATTTTGTACTGGGAGAGAAACGACAATTTTCAGCATGTCACAGAGAGAGAGGAGGGACAGGTTAAAGCTTAGGTTGGAAAAGAAAAGGTGGGGGAGTTTGATGGATGAGGGATTTGCCTTGAAGACACTTTCCTCATTTGATCTCTGGGTCCCAGTCTGCTGGAGGAGAAACTTAGAATGTCAGCCTGGCTGATTGAAGTCCAAAAGTCTGCTTTGATCCCGCCTCTGGCTCAAATAATGTCCTTTCAAAGCTTTTTCTGACTTTTGGTGCCACAAAGATTCCTGCTGCTTAACTGTCTCTAGAGCTGAGTTGGTTTCAGTGCACAGTGCATTGTTGTGTTGGTGTGTGCATTCAGGTAGATTTGTTCAAGACCTGGTCAATTGTCATGGTTGAACAGTTGGTGTTTGAACAGGGAATGCCTGAGTCAGTCTTCAGGCCTGACCCCAGTCTCTGAACAAAGTCATATATTTGGTTTGTTTAACCAGCTTTCCAAAGTCAGTGAAAAGATACAGGGACGGTTCCTTGCAATGGACTGAGCTTTCTAGTTGAACCTTTTCTCTTTCTTTCTTTCTTTCTTTCTTTCTTTCTTTCTTTCTTTCTTTCTTTCTTTCTTTCTTTCTTTCTTTCTTTCTTTCTTTCTTTCTTTCCTCAAAACTCTTAATTTCTTTCTCCTAAAAAGAGAATGGGGTAGAAATGGAGGCCGAGCCTGTGACATAGAATAGAATAACAGATTTTTCCTTCCTTCCTTCCTTCCTTCCTTCCTTCCTTCCTTCCTTCCTTCCTTCCTTCCTTCCTTCCTTCCTTCCTTCCTTCCTTCCTTCCTTCCTTCCTTAATCTTGCTGGAACCAACTGTGGTTTGATGTGTTCTATGCACACAGCTTCCCACAGAGAATTTATCTTTTGTTTGGGTTCAATTTAAACATGTAAAGAACAGTTGCTGGAATTGGATATGTCTAGTTTAATGAAGAGAAGGACCAGGGGTGACATGATAGCAATCTTCCAGTATCTCAGGGGTTGCCCCAAAGAAGAGGGAGTCAAGCTATTCTCCAAAGCAGCTGAAGGCAGGACAAGAAGCAATGGATGGAAACTAATCAAGGAGAGAAGCAACCTGGAACTAAGGAGAAATTTCCATACAGTTAGAACAATTAACCAGTGGAACAGCTTGCCTCCAGAAGTTGTGGCTGCTCCAACACTGGAAGTTTTTAACAAGAAACTGGACATCCATTTGTCTGAAATGGTATAGGGTTTCTGGCCTGAGCAGGTCTCTTCTCTTCTCTTCTCTTCTCTTCTCTTCTCTTCTCTTCTCTTCTCTTCTCTTCTCTTCTCTTCTCTTCTCTTCTCTTCTCTTCTCTTCCCTTCCCTTCCCTTCCATTCCATTCCATTCCATTCCATTCTTATTTTTGATCCGGAATTTGATACTTAAAGTTTTCCACTGTGTTTAGATGGCATTCTTTCCAAGTTGTTGCTGTTGTTGTTGATATTATTTTGTTCCTGCTTAGAAACAGAACGGCGGAATGCCACTGATCAATCTTGCACACAGATTAATTAGGTGTGAACTTTTACAAGTGCAAAGTGGTTTGTTTCATTAACAAGTTTTGGAGTGGTTTGATTCCCCCCCCCTTCCTCCCCACCCGAACTGTAGCAGGAACATAGGTTGCACCGGGCCAGAAAAGTGAAAGAACATCTTGTTTGCAAAGGGAACAGATGCTGAGAAGCTGTTGTGAGGTGTGAAGGGGAAAAGTGTAAAGTGGACGGCGAGTCTCTTGTGGGCCTGAACAGAAGGGAGACAAAATTGAAATGGGACATTTAACGGATTTAAAATAGCACTGTCTCTGGGTTTAAAGGCAGAATATCACCGCAGGAGAGAAATAATCCAGCTGCATCATGCCAGCTGTTCACTGGGTCTGTGTTCATTAGTTCACATATCCAAGTGTTATTGTTTAAGAATATATTACCACTGATCATGGAGACAGGTAGATCTCCTGCACAAATGGGTTTATTTGTGGGCTCCTTGATCCCCTTTGAGCTTGGTTGTCTGCTTGCAGACTTTTCATTATCCAACTAAGCAACATTGTCAATGCTATAGGAGAGTGGGGTTTGCAGAATGGAGGAGGAGGAGGAGGAGGAGGAGGACAACGACGATGACTGGGACTGAGCTTGGTTGTCTGCTTGTAGACATTTCATTACCCAACATCATCACTGCTAGAAGAGAGTGAGGAAGCGTCAAGCACATTCCCATCAAAACTGACAGGACAAGCCACTAATAAATAGAAAGAGAGTAAACCCCACTCCCTTCTAGCACTGATGATGTTACCTAGTTGGGTCACGAAACGTCTGCAAGAAAACAAGCAAGCTCAGAGAGCACCAAGGACCCCACAGTCCTCTTCTTCCTCTTCTTCCTCCTTTTCTCTGCATACCCCACTCTCTCCTGGCACTGATGATGTTACCTAGTTAGGGTAATGAAACGTCTGCAAGAAAATAAGCAAGCTCAGAGAGCACCAAGGATACCACAGTCCTCCTCCTCCTCCTCCTTCCCCCCGAGCACTGATGATGTTACCTAGTTGGGTCATGAAATGTCTGCAAGAAAACAGCCAAGCTCTGAGAGCACTAAAGATCCTAGAGTTCAACCCTGAGCTACATATATTTGATGGGTTGATGTATTTAAGAATTTATGGGCTGTGTTCAGAACAATATTTATACAACAACTGCACTCCTCAAAAACGGTTAAACAATAATACAAAAATAGGTATACAGCCCCTCATAAAGCTTACATAAAATAAATGAGAGGAGATGGGTGGCAGGCAGGTTGAATAAGTAAATAAATAGATATTTTACGTAAATTATTATCTCCTTTTTTCCTGCCGTGTGCCAACCATTGAATCTATAAAGTGGGAGATTTAGGATAAATCTCCCATTTTATAAATGTAGGAGATCTGGTATGATTGCAGCTGCTGAGCTAGATCTGAAACCAGATCCCGCGATGACACAACTGGAGCGTCACAGATCCTGACCTCTGGGGAGTAACTTTTTAGGTCTTCCTTTCTTTCTTAACTTGCTTTTTTTTAAAAAAAAAAAATTATATGACACCATCCATCCATTCCAATGCGGCAGCCCACAAATCATAGGCTTAATTACTCAACATATTTACCTAATCGCTTCTGACAATGTTTAATTGCCTTTTGTTTCTTAATTGCTTGGATGCAAAGCTAACTTACAGCTAGTTTGGTAACTCAAAAGCGAGTGAAGTCTAACTTCCACACGAGTCCAGCCGTAACAATTGGGACACGGCTCTTGGAAAAGTCTCGTCTACTTGCCAACTTCCGTGCGGTCTCTATAAACCTTCGAAGGGTCCCGCACCTGGAACAAAAAGAAATTGTTTAGCCTCACTATTGCTATCTCGCTTTTGTAATCAGCGTTTGCGTCGGGGACAAATTTCATGCAAGCGTGGGGAACATGTACATGGATGGGATGTAGTGAAGGAGGGAATAAGGGAGTGTATAGGAATGATTGATGTCTTCCTTAGGATGCAATGGCTCTGTTGTCTGATTTTCATTGGTTACCAAAGTTTATAAAGCAACACTACCGACTTTCTAAGGTGTGGCACTTCTGGAAGTAACTCCGATCAAAATGCAGACGCTTGGCACCCGGCTCATACTTATGACCGTTGTAGTGTCTCCTGGGATCACGTGATCCCCTTTTGCAACCGTTTAGACAAGCAAAATCAACGGGGAAGCCAAGTTCTCTTCACAACTATGTCGCTAACTTATCCAAAGCAGTGATTCCCTTAACTGTGTCAAGAATGGTCGTCAAATGGGATAAAGCCCACTCAACTAATGTCTTGTAGAAAATCCAATGATTTTGCTTGCATTTGTGCTTGCATTTTTGTAACTCTTGAACGTCTCTCCCTCTGCCCTTGCTCCTCTCTTTCCCTCCTCTCCTCTTTGCCTCTCCTTCTCTTTCTCTTCAGGAGTCCACGGAATGGCGCAAGAATGAGAGGGAAAAAGCAGAACGAGAAGCATGAGCTGGAGGGTTGCTGAGTTCCTCTACTTCCTCTTTCTATGGGACCATATAACTGTCCACCCTTCTCTCCAGGAGCCTGCTGTGACCAACCAACATGTCTCCAAGGAATTTGACTGGCTTATTTCAGACAGGGGGCCGTTCCACCATTCGCGGAGCTACTTATCCTTTGTGGAAAGACATCGTCAGGGATTTACAACCCGGTATAAAATATACAGGTAGGACGAACGACGGACGTAATCGTACTCCCGAGATGGCGATCTGGAGATGATGTGGCCCATGGAATACGAGCTGGTCATGTGATGCTTTGGAATAAGCAGGACACACATCCCTGATGTGTAGAAAATACAGTGGGGTCCTTGGTGGTCTCTGAGCTTGGTAGATTTCTTGCAGATGTTTCATTACCAAACTAGGACACATCATCAGTGCTAGAAGGGAGGGAAGAGTGGAGGAGGAGGAGAAAGAGGAGAAGGAGAAGGAAAGGAGAAGAATTATGGGGTCCTTCTCTGAGGTTGGTCGTTTTCTTGCAGATGTTTCATTACCAAACTAGGACACATCATCAGTGCTAGAAGGGAGGGAAGAGTGGAGGAGGAGGAGAAAGAGGAGAAGGAGAAGAAAAGGAGAAGAATTATGGGGTCCTTCTTTGAGCTTGGCAGTTTTCTTGCAGATGTTTCATTACCAAACTAGGACACATCATCAGTCTAGAATGCAGTGGAGGGTGGAGGAGAAGGAGAAAGAGAAGGACTGTGGGTCTTTGGTACTCTCTGAGGTTAGTCGTTTTCTTGCATACCTTTCATTACCAAAGTAGAAAGAAGTGGGATTTGCAGAGTGGAGGAGAATGAAAGGAGAAGGATTATGGGGTCCTTCTCTGAGCTTCGTAGTTTTCTTGCAGTTGTTACATTACCAAACTAGGTCACATCATCAGTGCTAGAAGGAAGTGGGGTTTCCTCCCTGTAGAGATAAAAAGTCTTCTGTCAAAACTTTGAAGACACCCATATATATCATCAATGCTGCGGAAGGGCTGTTGTAGATCAACAATTTCTCCATTGCCTCCCAAATGGGAGAGGGTACATGGGTCTAAGTTGAAGGATGCTTAGATTTGAGCTGGATGTCAGAAGTAGCCTCTTCTTTCAAACAATGTGCATCGGATCAGCTTCTTTTAAAGACGAAATAGATCACTATCCATCACGCAGCAAAACATTACTGGTTGGACAGTTGCGGGATTGCAGTGGTTGGTTGTAGGTGGCCAATAAAAGTCCTTCCGTATTTATGGTTCCATCAAAACGTTGTTGTAGGTGACCTCCAGAGAGAGGGAAAAACCCAGTCTTCTTGAATCAAAGGAGGTTGTCAAGGGGTTTCCTACAATTGTGAGCTGCTGTTCTCCTCCAATTAACCCCCACAGTCTAATTTTGGGATTGCTGGCTTTCCAAGGATGCCTCCCTCTAAAGGACAAGATTGATGAGGACTTGTTATGGTGCAAGGTTGAGGGAAAGAAAAAAAAAGGTAGAGCTGGCTGATTTGCAGAAGATTGGCAAGGATTTCGGATCCTCTTCTTTCCCTAATGCAGCAATAAAAACAGTCTCTTTTATGCACACACATGTGCCGTACAGCTGAAAGAAGAGCAATAAGGGGTAATTAGAAGTTAATTTTGAGGTTTGGAGAGACTGTGAATTGGGTTGCATTCTAGTATTCAAAACAAAATTCTAAGATTTGGAATTCTTTTAGTTCTTTAATCTTCTACATTAAGCCACTTTAGTTACATTTGGTTGCATGATCCCAGGCTGCATGAACAGAGGGATAGAATCAAGATCACGTGAGGTGTTCATACTGCTTTATAAGGCCTTGGTAAGGCCACACTTGGAATCCTGCATCCAGTTTTGTTTGCCATGATGTAAAAAATGATGAGACTCTGGGAAAAGTGCAGAAAATAGCAACAGAGACGATAAAATATCTGGAGACTAAAACATATGAAGAACAGTTGCAGGAATTAGGTATGTCTTTTGTTGTTGTTAGTTGCAAAGTCATGTCCAACCCATCGCGACCCCATGGATAATGTCCCTCCAGGCCTTCCTGTCCTCTACCATCTTCTGGAGTCCATTTAAGCTCACTCCTACTGCTAGAGTGACTTGATCCAGCCATCTCATTCTCTGTCATCCCTTTCTTCTATTGCCCTCCATCTTTCCCAGCATTAGGCTCTTCTCCAGTGAGTCCTTCCTTCTCATGTATGTCTAGTCTAGTGAAAAGAAGGACTAGGGATGGCTGCCAATATCTGAAGGGCTGCCACAAAGAAGAGAGAGTCAACCTATTCTCTAAAGGCAGGACAAGAAGCAACGGATGGAAACTAATCCAGGAGAGAAGCAACCTGGAACTAAGGAGAAATTTCCTGACAGTGAGAACAATTAACCAGTGGAACGACTTGTCTCCAGAAGTTATGGATCCTCCATCACTGGAAGCTTTTAAGAAGAGACTGGGCAGCCATTTGTCTGAAATGGGTCTAGGGTCTGTTATTCTGTTTCTCTGTTATTTTCAAATTTTGGGACTCTCACACATAGTTACAGCGATCCCTAAGATTGAATTTTCCCTTCTTCCTGCATGGAAGCGTTTTGTCGTTTCTGGAAATTCAAGACAGAATTTCAGAAAGGTAATTCTATCTAGTCGTGATTTGACTGATTTGATCTTTGGGATATTATCTGGGTGTGTGGCTCCACCAAGATTAGATTCAGTTTGACAAATTGATTTGAACAGTCCATTCAAACTGCCAGAACACATTGATTTGATTGGATAAAAGCATGTGCACAAGTCCTTCAGATCTTCAAATTGATTTGAAGGACCCTGATTGGATCTGATGTAGCGAATCAGTCTGGTGAACTGACATGAAAATATAGGAGGCTGAACTCTCCTTATGCTGGAAGTTCACATGGGTGAATTGCCCTTAAACTCAAACGTTGTATCACTCTACTATCATCTTACTACATTTCAGGGTGTAATGTTTCTGCAGGGTGTTTTTTGTTGGTCACTAGGTCTGTTTCTAATTGTATTTTGAGAGCGTCTCTCAGTGTGCATCCATTATGCAGCTATACCAATAAATAGCAATAGCACTTAGACTTATATACTGCTTCACAGTGCCCTACAGCTCTCTCTAAGCAGTTTACAAAGTCAGCATGTTGCCTCCAACCATCTGGGTCCTCCTTTGACCAACCTTGAAAGGATGGAAGGCTGAGTCAATCTTGACCCGGTTAGGATCGAACTCCAGGCTGTAGGCAGAGTTTGCCTGCAATACTGCACTTTAACCACTGCGCCACCATGGTGTAAATGACACAACTTTCAACTTCCTGGTGAATGTTTACGGCCAATGCTAAGAAGGGAACCAGCCTGTGAGGGAGTTTTCAAACTAGTCGAAGATGTAATGAAATGTTTTGGATTAACAAATTCTTCTCAACCTTGGGCTGAGTTGACAGCTTATTTTCTAAAGACACAGAAATCCACAGGTCTCTTGAGAATATCATGGTGTTTCTCCTGTCACCTATCATGGAAAGGGGTTTGATTTTAACTCTAGGTTTTAAATTGTTGTTTACATCTGGAGACAAGCTTGGTTTGCTGGTTTCTTGATCCTCAAAACTCCTGGAACCTTTTATAGTCAACTCTTCCATTGCCAACTCAGATTGTAATGAAAAGCAGACCCAGTTTTGAAATATTTCCTGCTTCCTCCATGTTTCGGTCTATTCCTTCTGATGTTTCAGGATAGTCCAAAGTTATCAATCTTCTCCATCTGTTTTTTTTTTTAAAAAAAAATCTTAGAACATAGAATCATAGGCCTGGAAGTGACCTTGGAGGTCATCTAGTCCAACCCCCTGCTCAAGCAGGAAACCCTATACCATTTAAGACAAACGGCTGTCCCGTCTCTTCTTAAAAACCTTCAGTGATGGAGTACCCAAAACCTCTGGAGGGAAACCATTCCATTGATTGGTTGTTCTCACTGTCAGGAAATTTCTCCTTCGTTCCAGGTTCTCTCTCTGTTTAATGATCTTCCATCCGTTGCTTCTTGTCCTGCCCTCAGTTGGATTTCTGGAAAACTGCACGATGGGAAAGACTCTTGTCTTTGTCTGAGAAAACAGCCTTTCCCCTTAAATTGTAATTGGCTGACTAAATAACAGTTAAGGCTGATTTAATTATAATTATAATGAAAGGGTAAGGAGAGACGGTTCCCCCCCCCTTCAGGGTTTAAAATTACTTATTTCGCAGGAGTTTTTATTTGAAAAAAAAAAAGCCATTTCATGGCACATAACCCCTTTCTACTCCCAAAATAGAAAGAATCAAGACATTTGTAAAAGCAGATAGAAGATATTTACTTAACTCGGGGGGAGAAAAAAATGTGGAGTCATGCAAAAATGGCTGCATTTATCTCCCATTTTTTTGTGTGGGATGTTCGCACACTAATTTACAGGCTTTGCACGTTAATAAATGGCAACGCTTGGCAGGGTGATTTGATGGGGAGTACAATGGGTATGGAGAGAGACGTTTTATTGTGGTGGCTTATAAATGTAATTAATACCAATAGGAGCAAGCTCACAGAACCATTCTAATCCAGGGCTGAAAGAGGTTTTTTTTTGTTGTTTGTTTTTTTAAAAATTAAATGAATTTATTACATTTGCAAGTGGACTGGCTCCCATCAACTCTGGGCAAGCCACAATTATTGATAAACCCCACTCCCTTCTAGCACTGATGATGCTACCTAATTGGGTAATGAAAAATTTGCAAGAAAACAACCCAGCTCAGAGACCACCAAGGACCCCACAGTTCTCTTCCTCCTCCTCCTCCTCCTCCTCCTCCTCCTCCTCCTCCTCCTCCTCCTCCTCCTCCTCCTCCTCTCTTCAAACCCTACTCCCTTCTAGCACTGAAGTTATTGCATAGTTGGGTAATGAAATGTCTGCAAGACAACAAACAAGCTCAGAGAGCACCAAGGACCCACAGTCATCGTCCTCCTCCTCCTCTCCCTCCTCCTCCACTTCCTCCTCTTTTCAAACCTTACTCCCTTCTAGCACTGATGTTATTACATAATTGGGTAATGAAATGTCTGCAAGACAAACCAAGAGTGCACCAAGGACCCCACAGTCCTCCTCCTCCTCCTCCTCTTCCTCCTCTCTCCTCCTTCTCCACTTCCTCCTCTCTTCAAATCCTAGTCCCTTCTAGCACTGACGTTATTACGTAGTTGGGTAGT